AGACTATTTGAATAGTGATTTACTTTATTTTCTTTGCAATTAGTTTGGGAATGCTTATTTGGGAACTTTGTCATGAAAAAATGCCTTACGAAGGTTGGAATTTTAGAGAAATAATAGAACATGTTCTGAGTGGTAAACGAGAAGATTTCTCACGTGGAAACTTTAACAATCCTGTTGACAATGAGATTCAATTAGAATTTATTAAAATAATCTGCGAGGGTAATTATAATAAGCCTATTCTCTATTTGGGTAGGACTAGTCAGTGCCCTTCTATGATGCCTCAAAATTTTACTAGGGTAACCCTGTTGTATAACTAAGCAAAAATGATCCTATCTATACCCTAAACCTAACCCTAATCCCAGTTATACTCGTAGCCTAACCCTAACCCTGTTTAGATTTTTCCTTTCTACTTTATTTGTATTTTCTATTCTATTTACTGATACTTGTTTTCTATTTAATCGGCTAATAGCATGGAAACACGAGCCAAAGGAACGAATAACTATCACAAATTTACATCAAAAACTTGAAAAATTGACTAAAACCTACCCAATTCCTCCTGATGACATATCATTGAATGAAAAATCAAAAGTTGACAAGATGAATACTATAAAAATTATAAATCCGGTATCGCTAGAATTTGAACGCATACCCAAAAAACGTTCATCATATATTTCACTCGAAGAAGGAATCAGGCTTCATAAAAGTAAAGATTATGAAAATGCATGGAAATGTTTTGAAATAAATGCTAATCTTGGCAATCTACAAGCAAAATACTGGCAAGGCTATTATTTATATCATGAGTATGGTGTTGTAAAACAAGATATTGAAATGGCAAAAAAGCTCTATAAAGAAGCTGCTAATGGGGATCATTCTGATGCACAATATCGATATGCGGCTTTATTGCTTGCTGATCCAAAAAGAGAGACCTATAAAGAGGAATATTACAAAGAAATTCTACATTATTTCAAATTAGCAGCTGATAATAATCACATTGATGCAATATATTGTATGGGTGATATTTATGCAAAAGGAAAACTTCAAGTAAAACAAAATAAAGAACTTGGATTACAATATTTAAGATTGGCAGCCAAAAACCATCATCTAAAAGCAATTCATATATTGAATGAATTAGGTAGATATATATTACTGTATAAATTATATTAATTATATTCTTTAATTAAAATTATCTTTGACTTGAACTAGAAAATTCTACGCAACCAGAGCCTATGGATATTGAGGTATAGCTTCCTTAATAACTACAATATAATTTATTTTGTTTAGCTATTTTTAACCAGAGGTAATGTAACCATTTTTATTTTTTAGAGTTAGATGTGCAATGTTGATATAAAATAGGAGTTATATAATACAGGTCACCTTCGTTAATATACACCTAAGCCATACGACAAATTTTTATAAATTTTTATATATCAAAATTTTCTTATATGTATTAACTTTAATATGATTTCTCATTAATATCACTATCAACATGATTTAAACCCAATTCAAATAGGTTGATATTAATGAGGATAACCTGTATATCGGCCAATTTTGTTTATATTCTAAAATTTTAAGAGTATTATTATAGAGTCAGAATGATTATTTGAACTTGTATATAAATAAAGCTACTGTATTAATATTAATACGTATACTTAATATATGTGATAAATAAAATTCTTTGATAAGTGTGATCTAAAAATGATTATAGCATGAACGATAATAATTATTTTAGGGTACTTACAGGTTTTAATATGATCACACTCGATAGTACTGTAGTAATGTTACAGGTTAATTTATTACCTTGGAATTTGTAATGCTAGGGTCTGTATAATTTAATTATTAGTGCTAGTAAAGTCTAATATGCGTAATAGTAACGGTAATGAATGATCTGTAATTAATATATAATGCAAGGCTTTATTAAAAAGAATCTGATTTAAGAAAATATAACTTTACAATAAATTAAATTGTACAGTTTTTACAATAACTGTTACCAAGGTGTATGATAGCAGTAAGTTTGTGTGAAGGTAGATTTTACAAGTAAAAGCCCTCAAGCAGTGTTGTTATAGGACAGCTCTGAACAAAAATATAAATTAAAATTACTAAGACAATCTATTTTTATTTTTTAATAAAAATATTTAAAATAAAAAATATATAGAATTATTTAATTTTATTTAAATATATTTATTAAAACTTAAACAGATTTTGGACACTTTTGGACACTTTAACATTTGGACATTGGATATGGTCAAAAAAGCCTTTGGATATTGAAAATATATAACATTAATCTTAAATACACAGTGGCTTAATAACACAAGAGTCTAAATAAAAGACAGTCTTACTTATTAAAAATTAATAAATTTGTACTATATAAAAATCTTAAAATTATATTTGTCAAAACATATGATTAGTAAATTGGAAATGTTTTAGTTCTAATTGCTATAAAAAGAGAACAGAGTTAATAAGAACAAAAATAAATTATTTATCTATTATCAAAATCTGTACAAACTAGAATTTTTTTTTTTTAATGTTAATGGTAAGGTCATGCCTCTATCTTTATTAAATATTTAACTAAGATTTTTACATAAAGTTTAAATCTACTTTTAAAATATTATAGCAAGAATAGAAACTCAGACTAATTTATCTACAACCTAAACCAACTAGAGTGGCCAAGGCTCACCTAAATTTGGGTGTTAGTAATAATATATGAGAGATTAGTTTGATATTTAATCTATTGTATATACTAAAAATTAATTTTAGAGCTAATAGTATTAAAAGAAGGAGTTTGCACTAATTGTGAAGTAGAATTAAAAAATAAATTAGAAATAGAAAAATGAATTGTAGATCTTAAAATACAGTAAGAAATCCAAATTTTGTGATAAATTTGTTGATTAAGATGAAATAAGAATTTAGTAATAAGCATTATATATATTTTTGTAGATGATAAGTCTGCGACTATAGTAATAATTTCATTTGATACTAAGCTTGATAGAGTTAAGAAAATTAAAGGTAGATTTGGTATACTATGACTAAACATGCAGTTTAGTTGTTTGATTTGATGATGTAGATTAGTTATAATTTTTAAAATAGTATTAAGAGTAGTGATATTAAAAGTATATTGTAATAATTTGTTTATAAGATTATTTAATAGTTGATCAGATGGGCAAGTTGTCTAATAAAGGTGAGAGCTAGTGTGTTGACATTGGTAACAGGTAGGTGGATATAAGTGATAACAGTTGTGTAAAGTGTGCGGAACAGAAAGTTTATCCAATAAAATTTTAATTCTAAAAAACTTAAGAGTAGATGATTGAAAGCTATATAAGAAGTTTAAAATTTTTTGATTATTGTTAATATATAGCCAAGTGGCTTGTCAGTTGATTTGGTTAAGAATTTTTTCCTATTTAAGAAAACAATTTTGAGTAATCCATAGTACATAAATATATACATAACAAATTATACAAATATTATGATAAGTTGGTAGTTCAAGAAAAAAATTCTCAAGAATAAAAGAATAAGCTAGGTTATAAATATTATATAACATAAAAGTAAGATATAGCAAGTTATAATGGTTATATACAAATGATCAGCTAAATTATTATATATATTATCTTGATAAGCAATAATTTTGTAAAAGATAATTTGAATTTTGTATGAGTTAATAATATTGACAAGTGTATTCCAAATTAAAAAGTATAGTGTATATTTATATACTAGAGTAGTAGAGAAATTTAAAAGGTTTTGTTATTTTGAAATTACAGATTGAGAGTCTGTATATATATTTACAGTACAGTTTCTAAGGGTAGTAATAAGAGCTAATAAAATAGTAATAAGTTCTGATTTGAATAAGCATGACCAAAATTTGACTTGTGTTTGAAATGTATGCAGTATAGAATTATTGTCAACTTGAACCCATCCAATACCTATAGAGTATTGAGAAGTACTCAAATTAATAACAGAGTTATCAGTATAGAAATAAAGTTTTTGTTAGTTAGTATTATAATTGGCAATTTGTTGAAATTTATGAATTAGTATACAGGGTTTAAAGATAGTTAGGATTGAGTTTGTTGAAATAATAATATTGGTGATCTTGTAGTTTGGGTAGGATGTCTAATTGCAACTGAATATAAGAAGTCCAAATGATTGACATTAAAATTAAGAGTTTTGTGATTTGTGTTAACTTGATCAAAAAATTGAGTTGAAAGATTAGTAAGAATAGTGATTATACATTTATTATTGATTGTATATGAGTTAAGAGAACAACCAAAACATACCTTTAATTGAATAGGTACAAGTGTTTAAACCATTCTAGTAGGTTTAGACTGCAAATAATTAGATAAAATTAGATAATAATTTTGTTTACAGTATTAGGCTTATTTTTGTAAAAAATTTGTAAATTAACTTTAACTTGTATTAACTTATATAGTTGCTTATAACAAATTATTAATAAAGATAAAAGCAAAAAAAAACTTCACCTTAATATATATAAAAAAATTCTATAATACATATTAATTAAATTTACTAAAAATCAGAAAAGTAAATAAAAAATCCTTTATATAAAAAATTAAAAATAAGAAAAAACATAGAATTAAAAAAAATTTAATTTTATTTTTATATTTTATATTTATTTATTATATTAATAAAGTTAACTTTAATAATTTATAAAGTTCTAAATTTAATTTGATTTAATTCAAATATTTGAATTCAAATCAAATTCAAATATGATATTTTTAAATCAAATTAAATTCAAATATAATCAACTTTAATTTAATTTAATAAATATTTGATTTAATTAAAAAATTATAATTGAATATTTAATATAATAAGTTATTTATTTGAAATTGTATTAAGACAATTAACTTTTCATTTTATAAAACTAAAGACATTTTATTTAGAAGAATACTTTTAGTTAAGAGCTCAAAATCAATTACCTTGGTAAAAATTTTTGTAAATTAAGATTTTATCTTTAATAATTAATATTTTAAAATTTTAAAAACAAAAATTATAAAATGCGCCTAAGGTGCTCAACACCAATGATCACATGTATATTTTATTATATATAAAATTACTAAATTATATTTTATTAATTATATTTTATTAATTTTATTAAAATTATAAAATATGCTGATCAATTGTGCAACACGTCATAACGCATTATTATAAAATCATTTTTAATATTATTTTACTTTATTTTAGTTGTTTTACTTTCTATTGTTAGATCTTTTAATCATTTTACTTTCTTTATTGTTACACATCATTAAAACTATCATTTTATTTTTTCTATTGTTAGTACAAATGAATAACACATCTTTTCTTCAGACTAATAATGCTTATAACTTACTTTTGTCTCATACTAGCGATGATTATAATTCACCTTTGCTTCATACTGATGATGTTTATGACAGTTTTATGGACACTTACTTTAATAATATTATGGCTTCTGAGGATATTTTAAATGACTTTGGTAACCAGCAAATTTCAGACAATGCATTTGATGATTTTGACAATGAAGTGGATGTTGAGGACGAAGCTAAAGAAATGGAACATGAAGTGGATTTTGAGAACGAAGATAAAGAAATGAAACATGAAGTGAATTTTGAGAACAAAGATAAAAAAATAAAACCTGAACCTAGATATTCGTTAACTGTAAATCAGTTTTTTAAAACTTGGAAAGCTGTTGATGAGTAAATGCTTGTAATAAAGGCTGTCTTTTTTTTTTTAACACAGTAAAAATTTTATGTTTATCTATTTTTAGGTTGTTGAAACATTATAGTCAAGAAAGGGGTTTTGCATTTTGATAACTCATAGTGAAATTGATAAGGTTGATAAGGAGCCTCGGCATCGAGTATATACATGTACAAAAGAACAAACATATGTGCCACATAAAGAAGCTCATATTCTCAGTGAAAGAGATCGAGGTCATAAATCAGTAGGATGCCCCTACCATATAAACATATATCGGTAAAAAAATGATAATCAAATTCATATTTCTAACATTATTGGAACGTATAATCATAAGATGGTTCAAAATATTACTATAGTTGAAGCAAGGTACTGTCAGTTAACAAAAAAAATGCAAGATGATGTTAGATTACTCTCATCTTGTGGTGTGCAAGCTGGTGCGATTATTGAGGTTCTACAAAAAAAGTATCCCAAGAAACATATTTATGTGCATAATGTCTACAATATGATACAAGCTATTCATTTTGAGAATTGTGTTGCAAGTGATGCAGGTAGCACCTATCTTGAATTAATTAAAAAACAATATGATAAACCTGGTTACTATATTAATGCAAAGTTTGAAGAAGCAGACAACCATTTAGTTGGTCTTATGTGGATGTGGCCGAGTCAGATTCAATTATGGAGCAGCTTTCATGATGTTGTTCTTATAAATACTACTTTCAAAATGAATAGATATTCGATGATGCTTTGTATGTTGATAATTATTAACAACCACAATCGTTCATGTCTAGTAGCAACTGTGGTGATATTGGATGAGACAAGTAATACTTTCTCTTGGATTTTTGAATATTTACTTGAAGCATCTAATGGCTTGGCTTCAAAAGTGTTATTTATGGATGCTGATTGTGCAATGGTTTCTGCTGTAAACACAACATTACCAAACACAAAACACTATTTCTGTCTTTTTCATATCCGAAAAAATCTTGAAAAGTGTTTTTTGGATAAGTATAAAGGTGAGAAATAGAGAGATTTTTTTAAGGAATTTTGTCATGTACAAAATAGCCATGTAGAGATTACATTTGAGAAATGCTGGGCAGATTTGCTGCAAAAATATCCTGATTCTGTGCTGTACTTGGAGAGACAGCTCTATCTATGCAGAGAAGCATAGATGCTCTGTTTCACACATAGATCGTTTAATGCTGGTGTACAGACTACGCAACGAGTTGAATCATACAATGGGATTATCAAAAAACACATTAATGGCTCTTCTTCTCTATTTGAATTGAGTAATACTGTTGAAAGATTGCTTTTTAAAGAAGATTGGTATTAGCACTTTAATGAAGTTGCAGGTGTACTACCAGCAATTCATAATGAAGAATATTACAACAGATATTTCAATTTAGTTGATAAGTCATGTTAAAAATTTTTAACAACAGCAATACTTAAAATTCAATGCCGTAAAATGAATCTCAGTATACACTATCAGGCACAATTAGTCAATTTAACAGATAGACTTCAAAGTCAGGTATGTTTTCTTTATATTCTTAAGTATAGTAGCAAATACTCATTTAATAATATAAGAAAATGGTTGATTAACATCTATGAAATCTTTAAGATTTTTTTTTGATTTTTTTTTTAGCAACTTCATAGTTAGAATAGGGTTATTGTCAAGAACTATATGTAAATAAAGTGAATTTGTTTGCATTTAAACTTAACAATTTTTTTTTTTTATAGATAACAGATGAAATATCGGCTGGAATGTTTTCTGATAATCAGTTCGATGCATTCGTAATTGAGCTTAAAGAATTAATAAGTGATTTGAATTATACACGTATTCATGAGATCTGGAAAGTTTCATCAATTAATATGAAAAGTTAATATTTCATAGTACTCTATGATGAAGCTACTTATCTTTGCACTTGTTTAACATTAATTAACCGTGGAGTTGTTTGCAGGCATTTTTTTACAATAATGATGGTATCAAAAGTTGCTAAGTTTCATGTTGGAAATATATCACATAGATGGTATTTGGATGAGGTCATTTGTGGGGAAGAAACAAAGATTAATAATGAGCCAGCGAATTCAATAATAAATAATGAGAAATTTGGATTATTTATACACAGTATTCAAGTTAATTTTATGCATCTTGACAGCATTCGAGGTAGTTATGTTTTTACTCATAAGGTTCGTAAGGAGATGTCATTTAAGTAATGGTGGAAAAAAGGATTCGGCATTATGAAGAAGACTCTTGATTTGGCAATTGCAACAGGATGGTACGAAGAATTATGTGAAATGCACCTTAACCTAATGAAAGAAATGGAAATAGAACTTGTAACAGAAGATAATTGTAATATAGGAGATGATAATATTGAGCTGTTTGCAGCTTCAATTAGTAATCCAGTTGGTATACATTTAAAGGGTAGAAAATGGAAAATCTTAAAAGAAGCAAGAATAGGTAATGTGTACCAAATGATTAGTTAATTTTTTTAAAAGAAATTTAAATGTAATTAATCGAATTTGTAAAAACCTAGGAATCAATGAAAATTTGACTCGTCAAGAGAATTGTTGCAGTATTTGTGATCAGGCAAGACCTAACTCTTGTACATGTAACTCAGATGTTTCAAATAATCAGATGAATGATGTGAATAAGGAAGGTTTTAATGATGTGGGTAAGTTAAGATGTATATAATCCAAATAGAATAACAAAACAATATTACTGTAATACTAATAATTATGCATTGCAGTCAACCATAGTCGTCATGAAAATAAGTCTCGACATTGTGGTGTCTGTGGTCAAATAGGCCACAATGCTCGTACATGTAATTTGGATAGTTCAAGCAAACAGATAAACAATTTAGTTCTAGAAGGCCATAATCGTGAAAATGAAATTAGATCACCATTATCGTTACCAATTACAAGTAAAAATGGTGAAGATTTAAATTTAATGAGTTCAGGTAGGTTAAGGTTTATATTGAACTATATATTATAGTAGGCTAATAATACTAATCGTTAACTTTATTGCAGTTGATAAGGATCTTGCCAACAATAAGTCTCGCCGTTGTGGTACTTGTGGACAAGTAGGTCATAATGCTCGTACATGTGACGTTAAAAGGTAGCTTGTAAGTATAATGATAGGTGTGATTGTATGTTCAATCGTTAGTTTGCTGAATTTATGTATGCCTATATGACTATTGCATATTGTGTTTGCCTGCATGTTTTTATCGTATACGTTGCTTGTATCTGGTATAATGTTTGCATGTACGTATATACGTACTTATGTTACGTGTGTTGTGTGTATCGTCTATTCAATATAATGTTTGCTTGCATTTGGGTGTGTTGTGTGCGTGTTACTGTATAATATTATATATATTTATTTATGTAATGTTTGCCTGAAACGTTGATACTAATAAACACGAAATCGATCAAGGTATATGTATGTTGTACTTTGAATTAGAATAATTTTAGTATAATTTGGGCCAGAACTTCTTTTAAGATTAGTGTTAATAATCGATATTTATGTGAGCTGTATAAATTTATGCGATAATGTTATATTAATATACAAGTTTAATATTTATGGTGTTTAGCACCTATGGTGTTTAGTACCTATGGTGTTTAGCATCTATGGTGTTTATCACCTATGGTGTTTATCGCCTATGGTGTTTATCGCCTATGGTGTTTAGCATCTATGGTGTTTAGCACCTATGGTGTACTTTAGTAAACTCGTTTAAAAATGTTTATCAAATCAAATTCAAATATTGAATCAAATCAAATTCAAATCAGGATATACGTATTTGATTTGATTTGAATTTGAATTTGAGGAATCCTAGTGATTTATTTCATATAAATATAAATCATTTACTTTTACAAATATTTTATAATTTTATTTTATAATTTTATAAGTATATTTCTGAGATTAATCTAATATATTAATTCATTAGTATACATAGTCGATAATTTTACTTGACATGAACAATTGTTCACGTGTACATGATTCCCAAAAATTGATTCCACTAATTTGAAAATCAATGTAAATATACTACTGAATCCATTAAAAAATTAAAAATAAAGTCTGATAAAGTTACTGTATAAGAACAAGTAATTATCTTTCTATGGTCTTACATAAATTTTTAATTAAAACTTATTTCTTTGGTCCAGTTAGTATAACCATAAACTTGAATTCACTAGTTCTATCTAACGTCGCATAAATTAATCAAAGAATTTAAAATATATATATGCAAAATAATAGCGCAATAAATAATTTAAATAAATTCATTCAGGCTAGTAATAAATCGCCATTATTGACTATAGACACAAAGTATTTAAATAGATCAATTAATATTCTGTGGGTATAAATTTAGTAAATTGAATTATTAACACATACCTGAAATATTATACATGACAATCTTCAGATATTGAAATCGAGAGTAGTAGAATCTAAAAAAAAAAAAAAAAATTAAAAAGTAAACTTTTTTTCGAATAAAATTCAACATATAGTGAGAGTAATTATTTTACCATAAATTTTTAACGACTTTGCAAGTGAAATAAATGAAGAATTAATTGGCTTAGAAAGATTTTTAAAGTTGATCAGTTTACTTGTAAGTTTATCTTTAGGGCAAATTGGCAACTCGGCTGATAATTTTGGAATAATTGCATCTGCAGACTGGAATGCTTTTAGTATTGCTAATTCATCCTTATTTTTCGCACTACTATTATTTAATATTTCGTGCCATCGTGATAATTTTTTATAGGTATCAGATGCAGTTGGTCTATCAGAAGGATTAGCATCCATACATTGATTTGCTAGTTGGATATAGCATTCAGGAGTGCCTTTAGCAAATTTAGGACGCAATCCATTACATATTTGAATAGCTAGCGTTTCATCATACTCAATGTCACAATGAGGAGGTCTTCCCGTAGACATCTCAGTCATAATAATACCAAAACTATAAATATCAGCAGCTGATGTATATGGTTGTTTGCTTAACACTTCTGGCGCAACATAAGGTAAAACGCCGTAAATCCCATCTTCCAAATTAGAACCATCCTTTTTTCTAGATAATCCTAGATCAGCAATATAAGAGATTATATCACCATTAATATATTGATTTTGCAATATATTACCGCTATGAAAATCTCCATGAACATATTCTGCTTTGTGTACAATAATTAAATTTTCAGATATATCGACAAGCTGCTTTAATTTACTTTCCCAAATAAGTTCTTTAAACTTTGAAAATAGGACATTATGAAGACTTCCTCTATTAGCATATTGAAATACCATCAAAAATTTGTTACTAGTTGTGTCTTGGGTTAGTCCATACACTTCAAGATTATTACCCACTAATCTAAATTCTGTGTAACTTTTAAACTTGTTAATTTGAAAACAAAATTTATGAAGTTAATAGTTTATAATTTATTTATATTAGATCATAAATAAAACATTTTAACATACTTCTCTTAAAAAATTCTTTTGTGAACCAGGTAAAGTTTTAAGTGCAACTACACATGATGGTGTACGTGATTGCATACATTGACCAAGAATACCTGAAACTGTTCTTTTACCATCTAGCCACGTTGCGGAAAATACAAAGCCAAATCCCCCTTTACCAATCATTTGAATATTAACTAAATTATTAAAAGGAATCCATTCGATTACATCTACGTATTTTGTAGCTTTAAGTTGAAATTCCTTAATGCACTCGTCGATATCCCTATTTCCGCTTGTCCATCCTTGTATTGATTTATGAGGGTCGCATGTTTGGCACCAGGCTGATGATGTGTTATATCGCTTGCAATTTGCGCATTTTCCATTATTTTTATTTCTTTCAGAGCCAAATTCATCAAATACTAACATATACTCATTTGTTGCGTTGTTTTGAGTTAGTCCACATACCTTGAGGATACTATTCTTTAACAGTACATAATCTACAAACTTATTAAACAGTTATTAAAAGCTTTATATCATGTAACAATGATTAAATATTTCAACTTACTTCATTTAACATATCTAATAAGCTTTGCGATCTAGTCAATATTTTAAGCTCCACTTTACATGATAGTATACGTGACTGTGAATATATGTTATATCTAACTTTATTTACATATCGTATCCCATCTAACCAAGTTGCTAAACATTTATCGCCAATATTTTGAATAATAACCAATTTATTAAAAGGAATCCATTCGATTACATCTTCATATTTTGTAGCTTTAAGTTGAAATTCTTTAATGCAATCATCAATATCTTTATTTCCACTTGTCCATCCCTGTGTTGTCTTCTGAGGGTCACATGTTTGACACCAAGCGTAAGATGTGTTATATCGGTGGCAATTTGCACATTGTCCATACTCATAATTTCTTTTAGAACGAAATTTATCAAATTCGGTAAATACTAAGATATAATCATTTGTGATAATGTTTTGAGTTAATCCACAAATATTTATACGCTCTATTTGACACTCAGATAATATAAGATTTTTAAACTGTAATATATATAAAAGGTATAAGAAATAAATAATATGAGTGCTGCGGCTTACAAGTTCATTGTTTATTATTTACCGGACTCTACCTTTGTAAGTTTAATATACTTAAAAATTAATTTAGTAACGTATTATCGTTATACGTGCTACTGATTAGAAAAAATAAACTTGAAAGTACGAAATTTCATTTTCCCTTAGCAGCACACGTAAATAGTATAGTAAATAATATACGTAAGTAGCATACGTAAGTAGTATAAGCATAGTCTTACCTCTTTTAAAACATTTCCTAAATTTCGTGATTGCGTCAATATTTTAAGCTCCACTTTACACGATAGTACACGTGACTGTGTATATTCAAATACACTTACATTCTCTACACGTCTTATTCCATCTAACCACGTTGCTAAAATTCTATCACCAATATTTTGAATATTAACTAATTTGTTGAAAGGAATCCATTCGATTACATTTTCATATTTTGTAGCTTTAAGTTGAAATTCCTTAATGCACTCATCGATATCCTTATTTCCACTTGTCCATCCTTGTGTTGTCTTTTGAGGGTCGCATGTTTGGCACCAAGCGTAAGATGTGTTATATCGCTTGCAATTTGCACATTTTCCATATTCGTGATCTCTTTTAGAACGAAATTCATCAAATACCAACATATACTCATTTGTGACAGTATTTTGGGTTAATCCATAAATACTTATATCCTCTAAATGACTCAATTGACTCATTAATTGCTATATCAAATGTATTATAGAAAATAGATTAGATTATAGTTTATAGAAGCATATACACATACAAATTAAATATACTGATTAAATAAACTACATATCTGATCTGATATCTGATATAATAAAAATAATATAAACTTACTTTTAAATTATTTGGCGTTCGTGTCAATATTTTAAGCTGCACTTTACATGATGGTATACGCGACTGTGTATATGCATATACACTATTAACATATTTAGAATTTGGATATCGTATTCCGTCTAACCACGTTGCTAAAACTCCATCACCAATAGTTTGAACATTAACTAAACTATCAAAAGGAATCCATTCGATTACACTATAATAAGATGTAGCTTTAAGTTGAAATTCTTTAATGCAATCGTCGATATCCTTATTTCCACTTGTCCATCCTTGTATTGTCTTCTGAGGGTCACACGTTTGACACCAAGCGTAAGATGTGTTATATCGCTTGCAATTTTCACATGTTCCATTCCTTAGAGATCTTTTAGAACCAAATTCATCAAACACCAACATATATTCGTTTGTTGTGCTGTTTTGCGTTAGTCCATATACTTTAAAATCATTATTCTTTAACTGTACATAATCTATAAACTTATCAAACATGGAAATATACTGTATATTAAAATAAAGTATATATATAGTGTCATATTAATTATATTAATTATAACTTACTTCATTTAACTTATCTAATAAACTTTGTGATCGTGTCAATATTTTAAGCTCCACTTTACATGATGGTATACGTGTCTGTGTATATTTATATTTAGTAAATGTACTTTCATTGTTTACATATCGTATTCCATCTAACCATGTTGCTAAAATTCTATTGCCAATATTTTGAATATTAACTAATTTATTAAAAGGAATCCATTCGATTA